AGTCGTTATCTGTAATTACGTAATCATTAGCACTTCGATCCTATTTAATGCTCTTTTTTTATTTCAAAAGTTGTAAATAACTGAAGAAGGTCTCTGACCGAAACGTTTTTTATTAAAATTTTTTGTATATTTTACGTCAGAAGTTGTCCATCCTCGCAATTTTTTAAACTTTCTATATATGATATATATATATATATATATCCCTCATATCAGACGTAATTATTTATTCCTACCTCTGTTTCCTTTTTTGTTCATTCATCTTGTATTATCCACTTTTTTTACACTCTCCGCTGTAGAGCTTATTGGCTTGCTTCACATCAAGTTTGCTAAGACCTCTCCTTTGGCCAATTTTCGACTTTCAAAAGTTTGGAAAGATGCAAGATTGTTGCAGAAAATAAAGTAAGTAGGACGATATCGGGAAATTGTAACTGTACAATTCTATAGTCTCTTTTAAAAGAAAAAAAATCATCACTTTGTTGCGTGTTAAAGAAATAAAACTCTTAGACCCATCGTGTGATAAGTCTCGCCCCCAACTTCAAAATCAGGGAGAAACTGGGAAGAGCTTCGAGAAACTTGGCTGTGGACTTCAAACGCAGAAAATAAATATCCCGATATCAACGCCTGGTTAATTCAACGCAATATGTTTCGGTACTATTCAAATTGGTTTTTGATCAGCAGATTTACGGACCTAGTGCCCGTAGAAACGAATCCCCCGCCTTGTCCCGGCCCCGCGCGGCAATCCTTAATTACCGTGACCTTCACCGTAACGCGGATTACGCCGCAGATGACAAAGCGTTCGCTCGAGTTCACAAATTATCACACGTGACGTTACGTTCTTAATGCTGTTCCTTCGTATTCCCAAATTGTCCGGTAAAGGTCCACATTCATATTTTGTCTCGTATTTCCTATGTTATTCGCATTTCTCATGTTGTTTTCAAAGTAGTAATTAGTTGTTCGGTTCTTAATGAACAATGTTTGTAACATACCTTTTAGAAACTACTAGCAATGACATTTATAATTAAGATTCGTCCAGAATTAAACTTCTTTACGTCCCAAAATTATTGCTGATGTATTGGTTATAGTGCCTATAGCTTAAAAGTGCGCGCATGGCATCTCGAATTTCATAGAAATACCTTTGTTTTGATATCTGGCGTCTTTTTTGTATCATAGTCACAGAGGCAATAGCCACGACTCCTCTTTGTTCCCTTTTATAAATTGAAATTCTTTATGCTATCATATCTAAAATTTGCAAACATTTTCTTAAAACTATGTTTTGCAAACATGGAAACATACCCCTTTCTTCTTAGGTTTGATGGTAGGTTTTCCGTTCTTGGAGAAAAACTTTTCTCCATAATGCATCACGCTTCCATAGTCATAGGGAACGTTGAGGGACTTAATGCTTTTGATTATCTTGAAGTTGCTCGCCTTACCTGAAAATACAATCAAACGTTTTGTGTTGCTCTCTGAAATTTACTCTATAGAGAGTTTCGTTGGCTTTACTTACCTTTTTCGATATTTTTCCACAAAATTTGAACAAATTTATCTCTGTTTGGTCGAGACTGCTCATGCCAGAAGCCCACAGCGTGACCTGGAAGATAATTAAGCCAACATAAATGTTTTAGACGCGCCAAAAATCCTATAATTTTGCTCTCATGAACATGACATGAAGTTTCGACTCTGACGGCGTTCTAAGATTGAAGTGAATGACCAAACCCCTTAAAAAGTTTTCATCAAATGTGCACAAAATGTAGTCCACGTTTGACGCCATTTTAAATGTTCCTTTGCAACCCAGCTGCATACCCGTGACGAAATTAAGTCATCCCAGCCTCTTTCGACTTAACTCTCAGTTGATCTCTTTTAACCCCTAGAAGCTTCGTAAAAAGGCATTTTCACTCAAATTATGTTTTTTTTCTTTGATTACAGATGCAGTAACTGCTTATCGAACCACGCTTTAAGGTTTTGATTGAGCAGCCAGATCACTCAGTTATTTTGTAAAATAATGGTGCCCATATTGGGATTGTTGAAAAAAGCTGAACACATTTTTCGAACTTTAAGGTTGCTCTTTAGAAACGCAAAATTTGGTGAGCGGTAAATTAAAAAAAGAAAAAACCTTTGGACGGCGTTTTAAAAGGGAGAGTTCATCTATCTTTGGATAAACATCAAGTTCGCGGAAACAAAATACGGGAAAAAAATTAACTTGATTTGCTAACTTAATCTACAATCCTAAATTAGAGGCAGCAAGGATCGAATTCACTGAGTTAATCTCTCGCTCACAGCAGGTACGAATGTCCTCATTTCGCAATCCTTGTTTTGAAGTTTGACGAAAATATCATGCGTAGTTTCAAGTAGATTCATTGGCAGCAGCATCAGAAGCCGACATTATTACACGAATGTGAAGATCGGTTTGAAATGGACTATCTAAAAATTTCGATTTTCAAACAATTGAAAAGATTCAAATATATACCAGGAATAACAGAAGGTAAAAGAAAACAGCTACACTCTGCGTGCGGTCTTAAGGCTAAAATTTCCAGGGGGAAATTTTTATTGGAATAAAGTGACCTCATTTCTTTAATGTTGGCTTATATCTGGTAAAGTATAATAAACTCAACATAACTGACCAATCTCATGAGAAACTATTCCCTTTATCCAACATCCTTGACCAAGGCTGAGGTCTTGCTTGCCTCCCCTTCTCCCAACATACGACCAACAACTTTAAAGGTTAGAAGAAAACAAACAAAACAACAACTGAGGATCGATGTTAAAGAAAGCCTTTTTTCAATCCTTAAACAGTAATTAGAAAAGGTTTTTAGGATATTTAGAATTACAGATATTAACTACTGGTATTTGTAACGATTTTGTCGTAGATCGATGAAAATGTAAATAAAAAATGAAGCTGACTAGAAATTGACAAAGGCTTATGCGAAAAATACATTAGAAAAAATGAAAACAAAAAATGAAAGCAAAAAATGATATAAGGGTAATTCCTCAATGTTTTAATCTCTAAGAAATTAGAGAGAAATTTATTTTTGTAGCAAAGTTTATCAATTATCAAGGTGGCCCGTGTGCTCCCTAGCGATCTTCTCGAAGCAAACAGCTTTACTCGGGAGATCGTCCTTCAATTTGGCTTTGCTTACACGCGCCTTCTAGTGCTGTAGTTTCAAAAATTGACACCTTAATTTCCTTGAAATCATGCGGCTAAAGGAGAGAAAATTCCTTGATTAAACCCTTGTTCCTTTTCCTCTGCGACACGTAGTAGTCTATTTTGTATGTTTAATATATTGGAGTGTATTTCAGGATATATATATCTTATTAGACGTTTTGTTGTGTAGTATCGCTGAGTATTTTTACGAGTTGTGCCGGAATTTGACGAGCCCGTAGGGCGAGTCAAAATACAAACAACGAGTTAACATACTCAGCAATACTACACAACAAAACGTCTAATACGTTTTTTATTATCCAACACGCCAAACTGTTATTTCAGTGCGGAATTTCGCGGATTTTTATTTACGGAGAGTGCGTGACAGAAGTATGCGAAGCGGAACGGAATTGGCACGTTGTTGTGTTGCTGTTTCTAATCTCTTCATTAAATGAAGAAATTTTCTGGTCGTCAAGCTGTTTTTCTTCGTTCGATTCATCTAATGAGCTTAGATCTATATTTGCCAGCCATTCTGACTCTTCGTCGTCGGAAATATGATTCAAATTGTTGGCCATTTGTTTTTTTTTTTTCAACTACAATCCAATTCTTCGCTTGCGCGATGCGAGAAAACCTGTTTAACCGGTACTCTACGATAGATGAGTACAAATACCGCGTGATATTTGTACTCGTCTATGGCGTTATTTGTACTCGTCTAGGTGTAGTTGGATAATAAAAGGCAATATCGAAAACAGTTCATTTTATGTTGCATAGCAAGGCGACATCAAAGCTTCTAAAAAGCTCCATACTTACCCATCACCTTTTATAAAGTTCACATAGTCTTTATCTTTTTTCCCTTTTCTTCTGAGCCTGATACAGGTTCTGTCCTCCCAGTCTTTTTTTCCTTGCCAAAACGCTCGCATGCCTCCACTTTTTCCTATTACAAATTAATGCCATAGAGGCTTATGAGTTTTTCTTCTTTACCTTGAAAGCGTACGAGTTTCCTCAATCGGTCAAAATGAGTCCAAGGAAACACTGTGTGATAACTTTTGAACTATAGAAAGTAAAGACTTTGCGCCAAACATTATATTCTATAACAGTGAGATAATATAGCACAAAAACATGATTTTAACTCATTCATTCCTACAACGGTCACAAAATTTTTTGGCGAAAATTCTGGGCGAATTGCATGGAAGTGAATAGCAAAGGATGTTCGGAGTGTGGTAGTGTTAGTGGCATTCGGAAAACAACAACAAATAACAAGAAACTGGAGCTCGGAGGTTAATCCTATAAGCTACTCTATAACCTACTCTTCAACGCTAACTACCGTTCGTGTACCAATAAAGAATAAATCAAAATGCTTGATTTATTGTTAAGGACTTACTAAGGCTCTTATCAATGGTAAACGGAATGATGCCTTTTATCCATTTTCTTTCAGTTCCTGCACCCCTTGAGTTAGGTCCTGATCTCAAGGCCACTACTTGACCAGGTGATAGTTTCAAGTCTCCTTGAAACAGGTTTAGACCTTTATTCTCTGTCCAAAAAAAAAAACAATCAATAAAACATTAACTATTAGATAAATAAATATTTCAAACATATGTCAGGAGAGTGGAACACAAAAACCTTGGATTCCCTTAATGTTTTCGAACCCGGATTTGTTCTAATTTTAGTTCCTTGCCAGAGTAATTTACTGAGAACTCAATACGAGAAAAGCCTCTTACACGCTATCAAAATGATCAACATTCTATATGGAGACAGTAAAAAGAAAAAAAAAAAAAAAACAAGCTCGTCAAAAGATCCTGATTAAAATATGAATCAACCTCACTTTAAGAAACTTCACTTGATTCTCGAGAAATTTTACCTTCGGGACTTTGCCAACGCTGCTCTGCAAAGAATAAGAACGTAGAGCCAGATCATTACGCTTCCTTGTAGACTACAACAGTCTGGTGAAGGAGTAGAAACAGGTTGGAATTTATTGATCTCTAACATGGATCACCTGCTCAGTCGATACTCCATTTGTTTGACGTATTTTGGGTGCTGTTTATTAGAGTTTGGTTTTCGTCGGGTTATTTAAAAAATTGACCTAACACAAATGCTACAGATGGAGAGTCCAGTCAGTTTGCAAGATAAACTTTCTCAGCCAATACTCCATTTGTTTGACGTATTTTGAGCGCTATTTAATAGAGTTTGGTTAGCATGGGGTTATTTAAAAGATTTGACCGAACACAAATACTGTAGACGGAGAGGAGAGGCATCCAGTCAGTTTG